TGGTGTTGGTGTGTGTGTGTGCTGTGTGTGGTGTGTGTGGTGTGTGTGGTGTGTGTGGTGTGTGTGGTGTGTGTGGTGTGTGTGGTGTGTGTGGTGTGTGCGTGGTGCGTGTCGTATATGTGTAGTGGTTTAGTAAATAGTATATAGTATATAGTATATAGTATACACACACCACACAGCACACAGCACACAGCACACAGCACACAGCACACAGCACACAGCACACAACACACAACACACAACACACAACACACACAACACACACAACACACACAACACACACAACACACACAACACACACAACACACACAACACACACAACACGCACAACACACACACAACACACACACAACACGCACAACATGCACAACACACACAACACACACAACACACACAACCCACACAACCCACACAACCGACACAACCCACACAACACACACAACACACACAACACACACAACACACACAACACACACAACACACACAACACACACAACACACACAGAACACACACAACACACACACAACACACACAACACACACAACACACACACACACAACACACACAACACAACACACACACACACAACACACACAACACACACACATAAGACACACACAACACAACACACACACATAACACACACAACACACACACATAAGACACACACCCATAACACACACACATAACACACACACATAACACACACACACACACATAACACACACACCCACACCCACACACACACACACACCCACACACACACCCACACACACCACACACACCACACCACACACCACACACACCACACACACCACACACACCACACACACCACACACACCACACACACCACACATGTGCTGTGTGCTGTGCGCTGTGCGCTGTGCGCTGTGCGCTGTGCGCTGTACGCTGTGCGCTGTGCGCTGTGCGCTGTGCGCTGTGCGCTGTGCGCTGTGCGCGGTGCGCGGTGCGCGGTGCGCGGTGCACGGTGCGCGGTGCGCGTTGCGCGTTGCGCGTTGCGCGTTGCGCGTTGCGCGTTGCGCGTTGCGCGTTGCGCGTTGCGCGTTGCGCGTTGCGCGTTGCGCGTTGCGCGTTGCGCGTTGCGCGTTGCGCGTTGCGCGTTGCGCGTTGCGCGTTGCGCGTTGCGCGTGCGCGTGCGCGAGTGCGCGTCGCGAGCGCGTGCGCGCGTGCGCGTGCGCGTGCGCGTGCGCGTGTGCGTGTGCGTGTGCGTGTGCGTGTGCGTGTGCGTGTGCGTGTGCGTGTGCGTGTGCGTGTGCGTTGTGTGTGTGTGTTGTGTGTGTGTGTGTGTGTTGTGTGTGTTCAGTGTGTTGTGTGTGTGTGTGTGTTGTGTGTGTGTGTGTGTGTTGTGTGTGTTGTGTGTGTGTGTTGTGTGCGTTGTGTGCGTTGTGTGTGTGTTGTGTGCGTTGTGTGTGTGTGTGTGTTGTGTGTGTGTGTTGTGTGTGTGTGTTGTGTGTTGTGTGTGTGTGTGTTGTGTGTTGTGTGTGTGTGTTGTGTGTTGTGTGTGTGTGTTGTGTGTGTGTGTGTACTGTAGTACATGGATATGTGAATACACACTGCAGACCGAGCGAACTCCACAGGTCAACACCGGGAACGCACCTCCTCGGTACATCGTCCTTGCCGACTCATGTCATTTTATGCTTTTTGGATTGGCCAGGCCAAACGGAGATGCAGCTTGCGCCCACCCCCGCTCCTGGGTCCGGACGCAGACCTTGCCCCTACCCGTGTTGGCTTTAGCTTGAGCCCAGGAATTCGGTTCATCCATGGCTTGATCGGTTTTATCGGTTTGATTCTTGACTTCCCACTGTTCAGGGCCTAGCGCTGGATCCTTGATCAGGATGCAATGGGATTGCAAGATGCTCCGGCTTCTTTTTGATCTGCAAGCCTCGCATCACTGGGTGCGAGAGTTCATGACCTGATGGTACGAGACGTCGCCTTGGGAGCTCTGAGCCTTGAGGTCTGGGCAAGCACGAGGCAGCGCGCCACTATGTACACGATAACAAAGCCAATGAGTCCTGGCAAGCGCAAGTGCCAATCACCTGACTCACTATGGACCATATCAGTGACCGCCTCGCCAGGGTGTGACCTTCACGAGGCTGTCCTGAATCAAGCTTAGCTGGGCTTGGGAGCTCACTGCCAGCGATGCCTCCTCATCTTCCTCCGAGGGTCTTCCTGAAAGTGTGCGGGCACAAATTGTGGCTGAGAACGTTCTGCCAGAACCCCTCCAGGCTCCACCTCGCGGCTGACGTTGCTTTGCAAGCATTGCCGCCTCAGCCATCTCACTCAAGACCTATCCTAGGTTACATACGCGAAGCTCCTATCAAAGTTGGTGCCTGCTCCTGCTCGTAGTTCCTTCGCGGCCTTCGACGCATCTGGACCTGGCCAAAGTCTGTACTCTTTCCCCTCCCCCGCGTGGTGTACCGCAAGGAAAGCCTTGCCACAGTCAACATGAAGCACAAAGAACTGATTTGCTTGCAACTCATTTGCCAAACTTTGGGCTTCCAGCCTGACTTTCGCTAGCTGATTGCTTCGGCTCCTGGCAAGCTGGAAGCGCAGCTTAGGTGTTGCCACCCACCCGTCCTGAATGCCAAGGGCCTCTTTCCAAGACCAGCCTGCCATCAAAAGGCACGCAGCTCTCCACGTGGACAAAGTACTAAGCATTGGAACTTCACCATCACCTGTTTTCTCTTTGGTTAGGTAGAGAATGGCTGGTTTCCAGATCCCCGGCTTTGAACTGTACAAAATCAAGGCCGGCAAGGCGGCCGATCACAGGTCCGCCAGTCCTGCCACCCCAGCACATCAAAAAGCAATTTGAGGAGAAATGTGGCTGCCACCTTAATGTGCAGAAAACCCGCTGATGGTGAGGTCAATTTGCGTCTGCCGTAATTATTACAGATCATGTGACTATATCTGCCAAGTGGGCTAAACATGAAACTTAGATCTTAAAGAGTCTACAAAACAGCGCCGCGCGAAGCTTCAGGGAGCAAGCTCGTGTTTTGTCAAACCGCCCGTGCTGAGCTCAAAAGGTAGCCCCGTTGTCTTTGAGCTCAACAAATCTACCCCGACTCTGAGACACGTTGTCATGCTCACTTTATCGTGTACTGCGATGGATCGGCCGCCATGGAGATTCACGTCTCGCAAAAGCCAGGGAAGCCCTCTCCACTTCTCAACTTCCTCTCCTACTGCCCACCATGATGCTGCAGCCACGGTCCAAGGTACCTCAAATCTTGTAGGCAACATGAAATACTAATGCGATGCTGCTTCTCTGTTGTGACTGGAAATACAGGGGTAAACTGTCAGGGCAGCGCGGAACTTCTTCAGCTGGCGTACTTTGTGCACTGCCGTAGGCCTTGGAAGAGAGAAGAATGAAAGAGAAAAGAAAACAAAACTGCTTTTGAATTCAGCAAATGGCTCGGGTCCCCCAGCGGCAAACGGGCCACCTCTGCCACTGCTCGCTCGGGCCACAAGGAGACTGCAACCTTTGCATGGGTCCGGTGCCGCTCGTCAAGGCCGAGTGCCCGCCTTTTGCAAGCAATAGAGCCGCCGATTGTCCAGCGTAAACCACTTGTCCTTCCAGGGACAAAAACGGCAGCCTAGTTGATGAAAAGCATCAAGTGCTTCCTCAGAATCGATGAGCTCTCCGCCTGTTTCTGGATCCACCAAAGGTCTGCCTGGCTGTGTTGCTGAGGCCGTCTGCACAAGCTTACGTCAGCACGGCACAGACTGAGGCCTGATTCATCCCGCAGTTTGCATCGCCACTTCATGACCTGAACTCATAGTTTACGCAGTCAGGCTTGACCATCAAGTCCATGCCTCGATGGGCGGGAAGGGTGCTTTCAGCAGCCACACCTCGCAGGTTGCCATCAAAGCGCGGCCTTCACACAGCCTTCTGAAGATGCCGGACACTGAGCGCCTCGCTGGCGTCTCGTCCTTGGCACCACTGGCGCTGCTTCCGACCTTGCGACTGTACGATCCTGAACTCCTGGCCAGACATCAAAGAACGCTCTTGGTCCCTGACGCTCTTCCAGCGCACCGGCTTGATCTGCTGCACTGCCTCAAAAGACGCCAAGACGGCACTGCTGCCCTAAGAGAAAGGAAGCTGTCATGCCTGCTGATTGAGCAGCTGGAGAAGCAACATGCTCAGAAGCTAGGCGAAAAAATATACCACGGCCCGGCACCTCATGTCAAGTCCAAGTTTTCACCCTGCCTCGTCCAGCGACCGTCCATCTCTGAAAAGCGGGTTCGCTCTCATCTGAGAGAAATTGACCTGGCTTGCGGGTCCAGTTCCAACAACAAAACCTTACTGTCCACCTCCAACGGTGACATATGTGCATCAGCCACTGGGATCCTCTGCCTGACATCTCAGTGACAACCTTCATTAACTGAGAGCCGTAAGATGGCACCTCTGAGCGGGCGAAGGATCAGTGGGATCAGTCTCGCTGGCCTCCGCCTGCACGAACGACACCAAAATGGATTCAAGTACGCCAATGTACATGTTGCATGCGGTGTTGCATGCGGTGGTGCATACCGGTGCACGTTGCAAGCAGCATAGCATCAGCCTCAGGAGCAGCCTCCTCTCCACCGTCCTGATACTGCCACTTGGCCGAACACCCTTGTGTCCGCACTCGCCGAGCGCAGCGCGTCGCTGGGTGACGGCAATGCATCGTCCATACTCTCCGCATGAGGTGCAAGTTGCGGAAAATCAAGTTCAGAGTGATGTATCTCATGCATGCGTTGCATGCACATCCTTTGCCAAAAAACAGAGAGGTCTCAGTGAGGAATGAATTGCAAAAGAAGAAAACCAGCTGTAGCTAGCTCGATGTGCTACTGACTGCTTTCCAAAAGCCGCGCAACTGACAGCCAAAATCGACGCCAGGCCTCCCTTCTCGATTGCTCAACAGGCACCAAGTGCGAATACCCCCGGACTCACTTGCGCTTTCCAGGACATCCACATGACTCACATGACAGCGACGCCAAATTTGTCACGCGCCGCTTCACGTCTTGTCATTCTTCTTCTTGGCAGCACGACCAGCTTCCTTTTCTTTTACCTTGAGCATGCAGCTGTTTGGTTTAAGACACTGCTACATGCCAGTGCGGCCTTCTCCTGAAGCTTGTTGGCAAGCGCGCCTGCAAGCACGGTTGCATGACACCCATTACAGCATTTCCCACACTAAACACAAATTCCGAGCCTCGCCCGTCCTTCCCCGCGGACTTGTTCACAAGCCCGGTGCCTCGAGAGTTCACCTGGGCTCCAAGAATATCGCGCCTGAGACCCGGAGCAAAAAAGCTCTGCCTCGCAGGAATCTTTCCACTTTTTCTGCCCGTCTCGATGTGCCTGGTCCCCGCAACCGTGAACTTCAGCCTGGCTCAATTTGTCACAGAGAGGATGATACCACTGCGTGGCGTGAAGCAAACCCTGCGCTCCTGAGCATGCTTCAGGCAAAAGCGGGAGTTGCAGTATCGGCACTTTGATATCCTTAGCAGGAAAACAAACACATTCGGTGCCATCTAAGAGTATCAGCCACTTGTGTTGACGGCTCGCACAACTGCAGTAGCTCAGCACGAAGCATGTCCATCAGCGTGTTGATTTTCTCCTGCCAGCTGTGGAGACAATGTTTCTGCGGGCTTTGGCGTGTGAGAAAGGCAGATGTGTCCTTGCAGCCGGCAAAGGAGCAGCTCCGCTCCTCAAGAAGCAAGTGGCCGTGTAGAAACGCCCGGTGTGTACACTGCCGTCCACATGCAGCAAGCCATGAATAACATGAATACATTATGAATATGCCTTGATTTGCCGGGCTCGCACAATCGACCATGGCCTTCCGCTGCGACAACCAAGCCGGCGGCCTGATCCGCGAACTCTGCCAGCACGGCGTCCAAGTCATCTTCTCCACATTCAGCAGGCTTCTGGGCCTTTTCCTTCTTTGCAGCCTACAACACTGCCGCCCATATGCCCCTTTTGTGAATTCTCTGAAGAAAAAAAAAGAAGAAAAAAAACACTCTCTGGCGTACTGGGCTTGGCAGTCATGTTGCAAAGAATCTAAAAACCCACCTTCTTGGCTTGCTTGATGTCCTGACATTCGTGCGTTGAAGTCACACTAAGAATTGGATGCTCAGCCGCATGGCTCTGCTGTCCGAGCTTCGTTTTGCGCCTTTTCAATCTCTTTGGCTCTTTGCGCTGCAAGAGCTTGTTGGCGCTGCACCCTCAACGGGTCCGACCGGTCCGAGGGATGTGCAGCGTGTGCTGGTCGCGCCTCTCTGCATGAAGGTCGCCCAACAGGGAGGCCTGAGGCGAGGCCGGCGAAGCCTTTGCCGGGGCCTTCTGGGCCTGGCAGCCAGGAAGGACATTTGGCGAGAGAATCAAGCGGCACCTGGGGAGGCGCTTCCGTGGCCCCCAGTGAGACCTCAAGATTGTCGACTGAGGGACAAAAAACCTCGGCCTTCTCTTGCTTGCGAGGTGCCACACGGAAACGGCGCTTCTTCCCATTGCCTTCTTCCTCTGTTTCCAGCTGAAGCTCACCTGGTGCCATCCAATGCGGTCACTCCAACATCAACCCCGCAGCACCTGAACTGTTCAGGCACAAAGCCGCGTCTGACTTTCATGTCTGAGACAATTGCCAGGGAGCTAGCCAATCTCTGCAAAATATCCTTTTCTTCTTCGCTGGGAGCTTTCCACTCCGCAGGCTTTCCAGGACCTAGTCAAAGGTTCATCCTGAACCCATTTCAGCCACTTGGGGTGCAATCTTGATCAACCAAATCAACCAACTATGGCTTACCTTCTGTCTAAAGCCCCGGCCTAAGGACTGCATCAAACTTCTGGCTCGTCTCTCGAAAGCTTCGATTGCTGTTTCCGCTGCATCTTTGGCAGGTTCTTCTTTTGCAGGCTCGGCTTTCAGCTTGACGTCAGGTGCTTGCCCAGACCACACAATGAGCTGCCGCTCCATTCCTTCACCTGCAGGATGATCCACTACGAAAACACAAGACTAGAGCTTGTGGAAAACTTGGAACTGCTGTACGAGAACCACCACCCATCACGTCTACATCAAGGATGCACAGAACAGCAATGAACAGCGGCCAGCTCGAAACCTACCCCTGCTACTGAGATTGTAAACTTCTATGTTCGAAGTCTCATGGTCATGCAAGCATGATGATCCTTGGATAAACGGTAAAGAACGCACTGCAACATCTTTCCGCAACAAAAAATTGTCCGACACATTCCAACGGGGCCTCTGGACTCGTGTTGCAGTCCAAGGGAAGTCGCCACTTCGTGGGCCATGGCCCTCTCAAACGGATTCAGCGATTTTGGAAGCTCCACAACTCCAGAACTTTGCTGAAGATGCTTGAACTTCTGCTCAAACCGCTGGCGCAGCTGCTGCTCTCGTTGCTGATCTCGCTCGTCTTTGTCGACCCGCTTCTCTTTCATGGCGCCCTCAGCTCACGGATTCATGGGACAATCCGGGACAGCACAAAGCATCAACTTGAAATCATGACAAATCACAGGCAGGCGGCCACAGTCTTGGCAATGGCCCGGCGCCGTTCCTCTTGGATGGCCTCTGCAGACACGGGGTCTGCCGGCACGCCGCCTTCGTCGTCCAAAAGCTGCTGCACAAAGGCGACACGGCCGTGCTCGCAGGCATACTCATACAGGGAGCTGAGGATGGAGTCCTTGGATATGGTGCTAGCATCCCCCACGATCATCACGTGCTTGCGAGCGCGGGTCACTGCCACATTCAGGCGCCGGAAGTCGGAGAGAAATCCCACCACCCCGTGCTCGTTGGATCGCACCAGCGAGATCAGAACCGCATCCGCCTCCTGACCCTGGAAGGAGTCCACCGTGCTCACGCGGGGCGAAAGCTTCAATTGCTCTGCCTCGGGGTCTAAGAAATCCCCCCGGAGCTGTTCCACCTGGCGGTTGTAAGGAGTGATCACCGTGATGGACTGAGGCTTCAAGCCGGCCTTCACCAGCACTTTGGCATAATGCAACACGAAGCGAGACTCACCTGGGTTGCACCTTGACTGATGCACGTCTGTTTGTGAGACTTCGCCGTCCTCGCGGTACGCTGCCAAGCTCCCCGTGTCCACAAATAGCATCGGGCTGGTCAAAAGCTCCAAAATGTCTGGTGTGATATTGACAGATGGTACCTCCTGAAGAGACAAGGTTTGGTGTGCCACTAATGACGCAGCAGTGAGTTTGGAAGCGTAAAAGGAGCAAGATGACCATCCCATGATGATCTCGTTGGATCGATACTGAATGGACAGCAATGCAGCGACCTCATCGCCGTAAGCATCGACCAAGCGCCCAAAAAGCGTCTTGTCCAGACCTTGCTGCTGAGCTTGATTAGATTTCACGCAGGCAGCCAATTGCTGGTGGTCGCCTGCTAGAACGGACTTCTTGCCGAGCAGCAATGGAATCCAGCACGCCACTTCCAAAGCTTGTGCAGCTTCATCTATCACGACCACATCAAACTGAAGTTCGCTGCCTGCCCCGAGTCCGCCACGCCGAATCTCTCTGTGAAGGACTGCTGCACCTGTGCAGGTGGCAAAAACGACTTGGGTCTGTTTCAGGACATCAGCTACCGCCCTCCGCTCTCGCTGGCGGAGCTCTGTGCGCAGCTCTTTCAACGCACTCCAGCTCTTACCACCCGCCGGAGCAGCCTTCTTCGATTTGCCCTTCTTTAAAATGTCGTCTATCTCCTTCCGAATGTCTCTGCATAGTTCCGCCTGCTCCGAGCCATAAACGACATTATCCATTGTAAACTTCTGGATGCTCTCTTGCACTCGAGCTGGATGACCAATACGAACCAGTGAACGACAGCCAGAGTCTGCAAGTCGCTCAAGCAGGTTGTCAACCGCGACATTGGATGGTGCTGTTACCAACAGGCGCTGCTTTCGGTACACAGCTTCTAAGATGTAGGAAACCAGAGTTGTGGTTTTGCCTGTTCCTGGCGGGCCATGTATCACTGCAACATCGCCGGCGCACATCGCCTTGACAACTGCAGCCTGCTGCGGCTCGTTTAGCTGGCTGGTCTGCTGAGCTAAAAATGTACAGTCGACGGCATCTGCTCGCAGGCAGTCTTCCGTTTTCCTCTCAAAAAATCGAGGTTTGGCATCGCCAAGGCAAACGTCAACCAGCGATGACGCGGGTCCTGCACGACATCCACCTTTTAGCAAGTCCAAGGCTTCCTTATAACGTTTCAGTGTAACATCGGATGACACTAATGCCAAGTTCAGCACACGGCCATCTAAAACTTCGATTGGCACGTCACCGTCAAATGCTAGTTGAATCGACGCAGGTCGAATCCGAGTGACAACTGCAGTCCCCAGCGGACATGCTTTGGACAAGGGGCGAGCAGTTTGATCGAAAAGCCCAACAATGTCACCATGGCTGACTTTGTGCGAAGGTAAATCGCCGTTAGGTCTTTCCAAAATTATGCAAGCTCTACCATACAAAGCTGTAGACTGCTCGGCAACTCGAAGCTTCAGGATGGCAATGCCTCTGGATTGCAGTTCTGATTGGGTGCATGTTCTGAGTAATTCCGTTGTTTCCTCCTCCTCGGCTTCTTTCTCCAAGGTCAAGACCTTCTCACACCAACCCACAAACGTTTCCGGGCTGCTGTAGCGATGATCCGCTGCAGACGTGCTAGACGTCATCTCCGGCATGAAACACTATGCAGAACTACCACACAAGAATCTGGCAATGTGTGAGCAAGCGATCTGAATTTTGTGCCAATCATGCCAGGCATCAAGCCTACATCATGCGTAGAAAGACCTTGAGTTTGAGGTGTCCAATCTGGTTGATTGATAACAATTTGCAAGACTATCAAGATGTAGGTCAGAGCAAGAACTAATAGCAGCTAGCATGTGCTCAACATTGTTTTGCCTTGTTTGAGATCAAATCTAGCGAACACCAACCTCAACACGTTCAATATCCGAGTTCCAGAAATTGACTCGCAATGGGCCAACCACACAAATAGAAAGGGAAACGGAAAAAAATAACAATACAAAAAGGGGAAAAAAAGGAGAACAAAATAAATCAACTGCTCTAGCTAAATGCAACTCGATTGCAACATTCGCATGTGTTCAAGAACGTGCGGCCCCTACACAATACAACTTACAAACGCTGCAGTTGGTCAAGCACAATTTTATACACGATTGAATTCAGAATCATGGCACTGCATGCAAAAGCGTTGGACACAAACACACACACACACACACACACACACACACACACACACAACAGCCTGCACGCGCACACACACACACACACAGACACGCACCCACATATGGGGGAAAAACAAAACGAAGAAGCCTCACGTTCTGAATTTGAACATCCGACGGAAACCCCGGCACAGCAGCTGGCGCGCGCATCAATCTTGGCACCAAACAGCTGACACCAAAAAAAGGAAACTGCAGGGTCCGCGCCGAGTTTGTTTGCCGCCATAAATGGCCAAAGCAACAGAAAAACTGCACAAAGCTTCACAAGGCAATGACGATTGTGTGTTGTGTGTCTTTGCGGTTTTGTTTTGTAAATGTAGCTTTTAAATTTTATTTTATTTCCGAAAGCATCGCGAAGGGCTTTTCTGTGCGGAGCCCTTCAACAAGTTACATAAAGCCAACTTACATAAAGCCAAGTTACATAGAGCCAACTTACATAGAGCCAAGTTACATAGAGCCAAGTCACATACAGCCAAGTTACATAAAGCCAAGATACATAGAGCCAAGTTACATAGAGCCAAGTTGCACGGAGCCAAGTGGCACAAAGCCAAGTGGCACAGAGCCAAGTGGCACAGAGCCAAGTGGCACAGAGCCAGGTGGCACAGAGCCAAGTGGCACAGAGCACAGAGCCAAGTGGCACAGAGTTGCACGGAGCCAAGTGGCACAGAGCCAAGTGGCACAGAGCCAAATGGCACAGAGCCCCGTGGTCGAGGTTCAAAAACTGCGGATTTTTTTACGATTTTTGCGGTGCGCGCGCGACCCTCTGCGGAGATTCGCGGAGGTCCGCGTGGTCGGGGTTCAAAAACTGGGGATTTTTTACGATTTCTGCGGTCTGCGCGGGACCCTCTGCGGAGATCCGCGTTGTCGTTGTCCAAAAACTGGGGACTTTTTACGATTTCTGCGGTCCGCGCGCAACCCTCTGCGGAGATCGTGCGCGTCGAAGCGCTCTCGCTATGGCGCCGTGCGAATTTGTCTTAGTCTCGGCGAACCCTCTGCGGAGATTGTGCGTGTCGAAGCGCTCTCGCTGTGGCGCCGTGCGATTTTCTTGCTCGCGAAAGGGCCTTTGGAAGTTGTCGCGTGGTTTGCGCCTGCTTTTGCAATCAGCTTTTAAGTACAAACGTAATACGCGGAGCGTGCTCCTGCAGCTCCGGCTGGAAAATCGCAACGTTTAAGTACAGACGTAGTATGCGGAGCGTGCTCCCGACAATCGCAACTTTTTCAAGCGCAAACGTAGCACGCACACTCCCGCAGCTCCGGCTAGAAAATCGCAACTTTCAAGTACAAAAATAGTACGCGAAGTACATTCCCACAGCTCCGGCGGCACTTGCGCAGAGCAACTTGCGCAGAGTCACTTGCGCAGAGCAACTTGCGCAGAGCAACTTGCACAGAGCACTTGCGCAAAGCACTTGCGCAGAGCAACTTGCACAGACCAACTTGCGCAGAGCACATGCGCAAAGCGCTTGCACGGAGCAACTGGCGCAGAGCACTTGCGCAGAGCAACTTGCTCAGAGCGCTTGCGCAGAGCAACTTGCACAGAGCACTTGCGCGCAGCAGCTTGCAGAGAGCAACGTGCGCGCAGCAGCCTGGAGCAATGAACCTTTCGCAGACCACCTTCGTGAGAAATCGCGCGGCGCAGTTCGTGCAAAGCACATTGCGCCGAGCAGACTCGCGCAGAGCCAACTGGCACAGAGCCAGTTGCGCAAAGCCACTCGCGAAAAGTAGCTTGCGTAGAGCCAACTTTCATTCAGCCAAGCTGCGCAGAGCCATCTTGCACAGAGCTAAGTTGCGCGAGCGTGCTTTGCAGAAACTGTGGCCGTCGTGTTAGCTTTGCTATTGATTGCTTTTCCTTTCGCTTGTAATTCGTTCGAGCTTTACGAGCTCTTCTTGTTTTAACAGATGTAAATCTGCCATGTTTCCTCTCGTAAGGACGATGAGATGGAGCTCTCATGTGACCATACACATTGAGCATCGCCGCGCGCAGACACGCTCGCCGCAGCAATGTAAAAAGGTGTCTCCGCGGTGGATGCTGGGGAAAAATGTTTTCGGGCCAATCGTCCTCTAGTTAAGATATTGCAACCCATGAACCATTGTGGGTCACTTGTGCCACACCGTTCCTGTTTAAGATCTTTTTAAACGGTTTCTGACAGTTTCTGACGGTTTTTGTCGACTTTTGTCGCTTTCTGTCGTGTCCGCTTTTGTCGGGTTTTGTCGGCTTTTGTCGATTTCTGTCGGCCTGGGCCTAGCCTTTACGATCTGTTCCCCTACGATCTGTCCAAACGACACAATTCCCGGATACATCGCGAAGGGCTCTGCTTGTTCAAGCAGCTGCGCGTTTCACCTGCCAACTTCGCCTGCCCCTGCCAACTTCTCACGCCAACTTTTCGAGCGTTGCCTTGCAATTCCCAATGCCAATCACCTGCTAACTTCTCACGCCAGCTTTTCCAGAGTTACTTCAACTCGCAACTTCTATTGCCGTTAGAATCCTGTTCACTGCTGCAAGCCAAGAGGGAACAAGCAATAAAAACACCTGCCTCCCCATGCGGGGCACGCGTGTTCAACCTGTTCACAGGGTGTGTTATCCAGGGGTGTGAAACAAAACTGGAGGTTTTTTGGCACATCAAGAAGCAATGCGTGGCGCGAGACTGAAGACAGCGTCCTCAAATGATAGGACCAATCGCTGGTCCTGTAATGTTGAGTCCCACACGAAGCAAGCACGCTTTAATGTGCGGATGAGTGCAATTCCTATCGAAGCTCAAAAAAGGAAAGAGGGATCGAACCCTCTAACCCCTCCGCATGTGGAGGCTAATGAAGGGGATGGGCACGCTTTGTCATCCTTCCTGCAACCCCGAGCCTGGACTTCTGAGCAACGCCATCGGAACGATTGGGTCGGTCGGGCTTGTGTCTTTTATCGCTTTTTCCCTCTTGGCTTGAAGCAGTGAACAGGATTTGGTTTTCTATTTCCCCCGTGTTTTAATCCTGTTCGAATCTTCAGCCTGCATGCAAAGTCAGAGCGGACTTGCGCGGCTTGAAATCGTGCGGTGTGAAACGCACTCTAGACTGCGGCGGTTGCACGAAAATTTGCAGGGGCCATGCGGTCCTCGGAGGCTGTGTTGTCTGTTCCTGTGGGAACGCAGACGCTATTGTCCCTCGGCAGCCCATGAGCGCGCGAGGGTTTCAAAGGCTTCCCACGTTTCCGCGAACCAGGAAACGCACTGCCTGGAAATGAACCATCCACCTATGCCTACTACGCTGCCCTCTGCACATGTGTCTGCGGCTGCTATGTTTCCATGGAAGCACTGAGCCATTCCACGCGCACCACTTGCGGATCGGGTCCTACCATAAGGCTTGCGCATGATGCTGGGACAGACCAGGACAAGTGGCTTGAAGCTGGCTGGATGTGGGCCTATTGCCACCCCGCGCGCAACCTTGGAACAAATAGAAGCAAGCCTTAGCCACAAGTGATTTGATTGGAGGGGTGGACCACAACAAACTCTTTTTGGGGTTCTCCACGGACGAATGAATGTTGGCAAGCGAGCAAGTTTCCAGGAGTTTGCCCAGGCCTGCATAGATGGAATTTGCACTGTCAACCCTCGCTTGACCATCTCACGGCACAAGGTGGGGCAGCGTGCGCCAACACAACATTGTGAAACTCAATGACACAGTTGAGGAAGCCCCAACCACGCTGCTTTGTCAAATCAACCTAGCAGATTCGAGCCATTGGCAGGAAGCGATTCTTGGAACGATCCACCTCAAGGATGTCGAATCCATTGTCTTTGAAACATCTGCTGAGCATGGCGGACCCTGCACACAATTCAAAGAATTCGCAAGCCGTGTCGGCGGGTGTCCCAATTCCCGTGCTGTCGTCTTCCCGCGGAGCAGGGCCATGCAGTTTGCAGTTGGCCATGTTCTTCACGACCGCTTGAATTCCACGCACCATTGCATTCCCCATGTCAGGATTGCGCCTGCCCCCGCAAAGGGCCTTATACGTGTGGCCCATCTTCCCACAATTCCTGAAGCAGCAAACACCATCTAGATTGCGATCAAAACATACGGGGTTACCAGCCTTGGTACTGGGAACACCATCGTGAGGGGCATCTGGCTTTGTGAGCCTGCACCCTTACCCTTTGATTTGCCCTTCTGGGGCCTGGCCGGAAACTTTGATGCGTCCGGAACACGCGCTGGCCTCTTCGCCGGACTGGGCTCCACCAAGCGTTTGGGGCAAGGGCTGCAAAAAAATGGTTGACGTCTCCATCCCGTTCTGCAAGCTTCACAAAAAACGTTTGTCCGCATTGATGACCTGCTGGTGCGAAACCTGGCTGTAACCATCTGGCTGATCTGATGCCCGCACATCAAAAATGCGTTCAACCCAAAGATCATGAACAAGATAATCCAATGTTCGCCTGATCAAGGGCCAGCCCTTGCCGCAGCAGTAGCCGCAGAAACATATCACTGCTGATGCCGCATCCAGCTTGCCAAGCTTATCGCGCACTCTCACAGACCCCGAAGAGTCGATAGCAATGCGCTTGTCATCCTTGCCAGCTGAATTGACAACCTCCTGCTCTTTGGATGTACACTTCTGAAGGTC